TCGTTCTTGAGAGAGGTTGGAGGCCTTAATGAAGTTCCTGTTGATGATTCTCACTTTGAGAGGATTGGAGTTGGAACAAGATGCATTGCCACTCGCCATTTGTTTGTAGAGGAGATTAAAGCCACTTGCTATTAGAAACTAGCAAAGATGCTTTTATCATGTGTTGATGATTTTATTTTGGGTTTTTCTTGTACTTAGCTATTAATGTGTAGTCCCGCATCAGATATTATGATAAAAAAGAGTGATGTTTAAAAAAGAAGTTGGTATTCCTAGTAGCTATAAATTTTGGGTTACAATGAGTTCGTAGCTCACATTTCATGCCCATTAATTTAAGACGTCAAGAGGAAAAATCATGTGCTTAATATGTGAATATAGTCTCACATCAGATAGGATCAATACCTAATAGCTATTCCTTTTGGCTTTTTTGTGGTAATGAGGAACCTTGGCTAGATCAATGAGGTAGGTTCAAAGTTTGAGCATACTTTTAGTCCCCCGCTAATAACCAATTACTTTTTCGCAACGGCATTGCCACCGTCCCACTCATGGACATATTTTATACTCATCGGCGCCTCTCCCTGGGGCCACCAAATTTTGCATATAAGCTTCTTTCGAAGGACACTGTTATCCTTAGCGGGCTATATTTATCAATTTATTAATTGTTAATAGTTATCAATTTGTCATTATGCTGATTTATAGCAGCGTAATGACAAATTATATTTAATTATATTTCTAGAAGATTCGGGGAACTAATAAGTGATTTCAAATTTCAAAGAAGTTAAAGGACTAATATGAAATTATTGAATATTTGAATGACTAATATCTCAAGAATCCCTTTATAATATATGCATAGATGTTCGATACGATACAGCAGCACATTAACTGAGATGAGATCCACCTGGTCAGTTGTGAATATCAGCAAACTCTCGCTACTAGTCCATCCCTTGATAGCCCATTTAGTAAATGACGAACTAGCACCTCGTATATATTTTTGTAAGGGAATGATGGGTATGAGATGATAACTTATTTTCCTAAATGAGCTACCAAAAGAAGATAGAACAGTAAAGCTCACACCTTTTGATATGACTAGCAAGGTGAAACTCAACATATGACCATCTCTTAATAACCCATTTAACAAAATGAACAGCTATCTCATGCCCATTATTTCCTTTTTACAAAGATGTAGAATCAGCAAAGAGTTCAGGTTTCAGCAGAATTGGGTGGCGGTTGACCAGCGCGCTCGACCGCTTTCGTGCACGAGGTTTACTGGGCTTCGGTGGTGGTGGCGGTCGACCGGCGCGGTCGACCGCAGATGTTTCTGCTCTGGTGTCGGTCGACCGCCGCGGTCGACCGCCGAACTCTCTGGAAATTTGGATCAGCCGCCCCCCGCCGCTGCGGTTTTGGGTTGGGTCTGTTTTCCAGACCCGTTTCGTTTGAGTTTTCTATAAATACCCAAACACGATTCTAGGGTTTGTAAGGCAAGAGTTTTGAGCTGTTGAAAGGGGTTTTCTTTAGGCTTCTATTCTAGGAGCATTTGGAGAGATCAAGAGTAAGTTGTTGTGGGTTTTTGGTGAGAGATTGTAACCCTAGTTTGTTCCTCTTGATTTCTAATAGTAAAAACTCCCCCCTCCTTGCCCCGTGGACGTAGGCATCTTGCCGAACCACGTAAAACTGGTGTTTGATTGTTTGTGCTATTGATTTGGTGTGTTGGTTTATCTTTTCTCGGCGATTGGTTTGGATTCTCGAGGCGCAACAAGTGGTATCAGAGCTCCGGGCAACGCTTGAGCTTTTTGGAGGTATAGATCAGTTGGGAAGTTCACCTAGAGCTTCAATTGGTGATAAATGTGGGATCTTTGTGGTAAAGTTTCTATCTTTTTCAAGTTGGATCTATTTTCTTGTTTGTTCCGCAATTGTTTGGGTGCTTTGAGATTATGGCCGGAAAGGATAAACATGGGGAGGGTTCTTCAAGTGTGAAGGCCGTCCAAAGTTTGAATATACATTCTATGAAAATAGATGTGGAAAAGTTCAACGGCACAAATAATTTTGGACTTTAGAGATGTGAAGTCATGGATGCGCTAAATGCGTAAAATTTGGAAGATACGTTGGAGTTGGACGGGAAACCAGACAACATGGATGAAAAGGTTTGGAATAAGATGAATAGAACGGCGTGTGGTGTGATTAGGTCTTGCCTTACCCAAGACCTTAAATATGATGTGATGAATGAAACTTCGGCAAAGAAGATTTGGGAGGTCCTAGAGGGCAAATATTTGACGAAGAGCGTCGAAAATCGTTTGCATTTGAAGAGGAGGCTTTATCGCTTCCAATTGAAGAAGGGGATATCCATTAGTGATCACATGAACTACTACACGAAGCTACTTGCAGATTTGGCGAACGTAGATGTCATTGTTGAAGATGAGGATAAAGCATTGTTGTTATTGAGTTCCTTGCCCGACGAGGAATATGAGACCTTCGTCCTCACTCTTATTAATGGGAAGGCATCTCTTTCATATAGTGAGGTCACCGCAGCCCTTGTGAACTATCAACTTCGAAAGAATGACAAGGAGACTTCCATCGAGCCGGTTGCGGGGGCATTGGTTGCAAGAGCTAAAAGTCTAAACCGTGGGAGAAGATCGCAGTCTAGAGGGGGGCATCCTGCAGTTGGTAGGAATCAATGTGCCTTTTGTAGAGAGGATGGACATTGGAAAGCCGAATGCCCAAAATTGCAAGCCGTGAAGAATAAAGGAAAAGCTATTCAAGCTTCAGAGGTAAATGTTGCCAAGGCTAGTGGCGATGTTTCAGATTCAGATTCTTCGGGCTATTCGTACCCAGCTCTTCCGTCAGTTGATGTTGCCGACTCCACCGAGTGGATGTTGGATTCTGGTGCTACTTACCACATATGCCCTAGAAGGGATTGGTTCTCCAGCTTTCAGGAGTTGGAAAGAGGGGATGCTGTTCTCATGGGTAATGATCACAGATGCCCTATTGGTGGTATTGGTACCGTTCAGATTCGGATGAGTGACGGGATGATCCGGGAGTTGGCTGATGTGAGGTTCGTTCCTCAACTGAGGAAGAACATCATTTCACTTGGGGTATTGGAGGCATCAGGCTATAGGGTGACCTTGGCGGATTCTCGCTTGAAGGTCACATCGGGGTCCATGATTGTGATGAAGGGAGTCAGACGGAGTAACTTGTATTATCTACTTGGGAGCACGGTAGTTTTCTATCCATCGATCGAGGGGTCTTATTGGAGGTGTTCAGTCAGGCATTGGGGGGCTTTCCGAGGAGGCATCATCGGGAGGTAATCGTTATTTTGTTTCCTATGTTGGGGATTGTACTAGGCATATTTGGGTTGCAACCAAGTCCCGTTGGTATAAAGCCCTAGTAGTCCGCAACACTTGGAGGAGGTGTATGGGCAGAAAGGTTACCAGTTGTACTTGTTCTAGTTGGAGTCCTTTCTTGCATTGGTGCCGAGCTCATGGCAGTTGGAGACACTTCAGAGGAGAGGAGACAGTGGGGCGACGTGATGAGATGACGGATTCAGTGAGCCATTCTTTTCTGGAGGAGGATCGGTATTGGTTGTCGAGCAGTGGATCTGGTATTCAGGCTTCGACAGGTTTGGGTTATCTTATGAGGTTGCCGACTGATGCGTATAGAGTTGTTAGATCTGGTGGAGCTGCTTCAGATTTTGGTTGGCATTGGATATTGGGCTACCCAGCACTTGGTCATATCGTTGATGTGAGATTGGATCCGATTGCGCATTTGGGATTCAGGAGTTCATTCGGCTATCAGTGGGGAGCTTCTGAGTTTGGTCTGAGCAGGTTTGTCACTTTGGACTCTCGGCAGGTGGAGAGTATTGATCAGGTCAGAGGGATATCGCAGCGGGTGGAGGTTGATGCTACTCCACATTGGGTGGAGCTTACTCCACATACTCCAGGTCATTCTGCATTGGTTGGGATTCCAGCTGAGGTGACACAGCGTGGGAGTCATTTATTTATGGGGGCAGATGATGAGGTGGTTGACTTGGATGTAGCTGATGGATATTTTTTGGATACGGCCATCGTTTCACCTCAGGTGGAGGTGTTCGGATCGCTTCAGTTTGGGGTAGTTGATGATGCTATCAGCCGCAAGATGGATTGAGGGCCTTTGGAGGCCAATGGTGAACTACGTGAAGGCTTGATTCTTTGGGCAAGAGGATACGTAGGCAGTCTTTATGATGCAGCCGATTTGGTGAGCGACATCGACATTTGGGGTGAGTGTTCGCACTCCCACTTGGGTCTCAGCAAGTGAGGCATTTGGTGTAGTCGGTGTAGGCTCAGTTGTTTGGTGAGTAGGCACAGTTGGTTTGGGGTTGAGTGTTCGCACTCCCGTTTGGATCTCAATGTGTTGTGATTGGAGTCCGTTGTCATGAGTCCGTTGCCATGGCGTACTGGATGCAACAGTTGAGGTATTGGTTTGTTCGGTGTCGGCTCAGATTTGGGAAATCTTCGCCGAGGTGGAGATTTGTAGAATTGATAGAAAGTCCGGGTTTCAGCAGAATTGGGTGGCGGTCGACCGGCCCGGTCGACCGCATTCGTGCACAAAGAGTTTTGAGCTGTTGAAAGGGGTTTTCTTTGGGCTTCTATTCTAGGAGCATTTGGAGAGATCAAGAGTGAGTTGTTGTGGGTTTTTGGTGAGAGATTGTAACCCTAGTTTGTTCCTCTTGATTTCTAATAGTGAAAACTCCCCCTCCTTGCCCCGTGGACGTAGGCATCTTGCCGAACCACGTAAAACTGGTGTTTGATTGTTTGTGCTATTGATTTGGTGTGTTAGTTTATCTTTTCTCGGCGATTGGTTTGGATTCTCGAGGCGCAACAAAAGATACATTTAGATATTTTACTGTAGTGAAGAAGGAAGATTTGGCATTTGTAATATTTTAATACACTATTTCAAAAATAAGATAACCCAATAAGTTATAGCAAACTAACATTCCATTTCCAAACATATCGAATAATAAAAGTAAACGATTCGTGATAATGTCACATATTCAGCTGAGTTAGGTTCTTCAATAGAAAATGGCGAATAAATATTTTGGTGTAGCACACTAATAAATTATATTCATCCATATTTAAACAATAATCTACTTGTTCACGTAAAGAAAAATCAAACAAAAAGAAGAAGAAATGATATTACAAAGCACAGACCGCCCAAAAGCACCATTTCTATTGGAAATGGAAAACCCCTAAATGAATCATGTCCACCACCAACAAATCACCTAACGTTGATACCCAATGTATCTCACCAAGAACCAAATCCCCTGCCTATCAAAAGCTGTACACAGAAAGAGAGGAAGCAAGGTAGAGGTTTTACAGCAACAGAACAGTAGCAATCGGGCTCTAGCTTTTAGACATGGCGGTCTTGCAGACAGGGCAAGTGTTCTTCCTCAGAAGCCATTGCTTGATGCAATAAGTATGGTAGCTATGTCCACACTGCAGCCTTCCCATTTCGTCGTTTGCTTCATATTCTTCCTGTGGTACAAACAACGAGATCAGGCATCTTCATTATTGCTTGTATGTTGATTGCAACGAATAAACAAGAGAAAACTCACTTGACAAATTGTGCATTTCCGTTCTTTTTGAGACGGGGAAGCACCAGGAAATGAGTGCTTTTGTTTCCTGAGATTGGAGAGGATCTCCTCCTCTCTCAACCCAGTGCTGACATACCCAATCTTTTCACTTAATTCCAGTAATTCCTGTTGGGAAAAAAGGGTAATAGTTTACCTGGAGGCACTAAATGTATCTGGTAAGGCCACAAAAGTAAGAATAATACAAACCTCGTACGACATATTATCAACATCAAGCCGCAAATCATTGTATTGATCGTATACACCCACTCCATCTAAAAATACTTGAGGTACTCGAGTTTGGAACATCCTCACCTGTGTAACCGAAAAAATAAATAAGCAACCATATAAGGTGCATTAGCACTCAGACTGTAAATATTACAGTTTCACAACTTCTGATTTTTCCCCCAAAAAACAAAAAATTATGATAATTTTACAGTTAGGGTATTTAACATAATTTATATTATGTATTGCATGCTGAAAAAATCATTCTTTTCTTATCTATGGATAGATGAGAAGGGATCATAAACTATCTATAAAGATGGGGCTTAACATGCACGCTAAAGCTTTATAAATTACCAAAAAAGAACGTCAGTTGCCAAGTCCAGCTATTTATGAAGATTTCATTCTTCACGCAATCACTTTCTCAAATTTACCAGGTCTTAAGTTATAAAAACCAGTTTGATATTGCTAGAGCTTATAATAAGTTGCTTATATAAGCGGCTTATAGAAGCAACTTATAAGAACTGCTAAAAATAGTTGTGTTCTTATAAGTTGCTTGACAACCATATATCAAAAGATGCTTCTAAAAGCACTTAAGGTGTCTGGTAAAACCGTGCTCAAAGATCATTGTAAATGAAAATGATCAAACTCCATATACCTTTAGCTTCATGTTCATTGGTAGTAATAAAAACATTGTCAAAAGCTAATGAGTGTATACAGTATTTAAACTACAAACAGAAACTACTTTTAAAAGGATTCTCAGGTTTGCTTCTAAAAATATTCCCCTTAAAAGCAAGTGTTTCAAGAAGCATGCAAAAAATAATAATAATAATAATTTACCAAATACCATTGTTGACTACTTATTGCAAAAATAAGCAAAAGCACTCTAAAACATGCAATGCATTGCCCTAAAAGCCTAAGAAAGAAGATTGATCAGCTTATTTGTAGCCTATTTTAACTTGCCAGATTGACTCTCTAGTGACATACACGACAAAGGTTCTCAAGCAATTTATAATTATTTATGAACCATTTCCTGCAACTCTGAGTACAGACTTAATAGAAGGGAATAAGGGCCAATCTGGTATTGTTGTACGTTAGAATAAGTTGCTTATGTAAGTAGCTTATAGAAACGACTTGTAAAAGTTGTTGAAAATAGTTGTTTGGTACTCATAGATCAAAAGCTGCTTCCAAAAGCAATTGAGGTGTTTAGAAAAACTGTGTTTAAATATCATTGTCAAAAGACAAAGAACATATACATGGTATATAAACTAAAAAAGTACAAGTTGCTTTTAAAAGCATCCTGAGGTCGCTTATAAAATCACCTCTTTAAAAAGAAATGCAATTTCAACAAGCATGCAACAAAAAAAAAAACACCATTATTGATTGCTTATAAAAAATAAGCGAAAGCATTCCTAAAAGAAGTACCAAACCGGCCCTAAATAGGCCTCAAGCGAGCAATGCTAGAGGCAAGTCGCTTTTTAGCAACTGACTCCGTACTCCCGCTGGGTAGGGGGTATAGGGCTTAGGCGTATAGTTTTAGGGTGGGGGGCTACTTGGGGCAGTTGTTGACGAGTACAGCAGCAGTCGTTAAAAAGCGATAAAAGGCGACTGCCGCTAGCATTGCTCGCCTCTAGCAAGTTATTTTTATTTTACTTTTAATTTTTATTTAACATCTGTTGATAATGAACTATCAATCAGTTGTTCAACTCAAATTCAAGGAATCATATTCATAAGGCATATCAAAGCATCAGCAATCCAACAAGGGAAAGATAACGCTCACCACACACATTCTTTACCTCCGTACTTCCATAATTTTAACACAATACAAGCTGTTAGAAATCATAAAACGAGTAAAGAACAAATCAGTTACTATTGTCAAAGAAAAAAATTGCGTGCGCGCAAGTGAACAAGATGCCACTGTATATTCTACAATATAAACTCAATACAAGCATCTCTAATAGAAACCAATTTGCTTCCATGGATAGTTAGAAACCCTTTGGAAAAAGTGTCCCACATAAAAAATTATGTAAGAAAAGTTTGTGTCAGGACATTGTCCATGCAGTCGACTAGGTTTGATGAATTACAAATGTTCATATGAATTTACCATATTTTGAGTTGAAAAGCGCAGGTGATAGATAGAAAATGACCATACAAACATGCATATAAAGTTTCATACTCACACAAGGTCATACAAGAAAGTTACGGATCAAAATAAGAAGTCAAGAGTGTAAAAAACAGCTTTGTGCACTAAGTCAACTTTGCAACTCATGAACATCGACTTTGTTATGCACAGAAAATTCTGTAATTCAGCAGCAGCTAAATTTTGTTTAGGAATATTGAAGGTCGGATTTGAGCACTGCAAAATACGCTTTGAGGACTGTAAACTCGGCTTTGAGGACAACACAGAAAGCTAAATTCTGGATTGAGATGAAAGTCGGCTTTGATGACTGTAGAGTCAGCTTTGGTCACTGCATAGCCTTATTTGAAAGTGGACTTTGGTCAAAGCCAGATTTTGGCTGATTTTGAACCTGATGGGAAGTCGGTTTTGGCTCTTCTCAAAGTCTACTTTGGCGGACTGCAGATGTGAATCCTATTTATAATCTGATTTGTGAGATGTAAACTTAGCTGTTCGTTTGGATTTCTTTATATACATCTCTAGGGCTATTTTTCTCCAGAGAAGAGGAGTTAATTGCTGAGATTTGAGAGCTCCACTTACAGAGAAAAAGAAAGAACTTCTTTTAGGGTTTGAAGGAGTTCTTGATTGCCATCACCTCTCGTAGTGTCGACTGCATCCTCGGAACGAGCTACATAATTGGATCGTATTCTTCACAGAGCGCAACCAGCTCTAATATCGCATTGACTTCGTTCTTCCAAGATCTTCAGTATAATTCTCTTGAAGAATGGTTTTAATCAAAAAGGGCAATAAGATCTTCTCATTTTGTGCTTAAATACTGATAGTTTGTGAAACTCTTCTTTACAGTCATGTGATTGGAATTGTGATACGGCGTACTCAAGCCGGGGTGAATTGAGGAAGAGGGTTACTAGTGCGGAGTTAAGGTTATACTGTTGGGTGAGGTTGTTTGGTGGAGACGGCTAGTTTAGAGTTAGGCTAGGGAGCGACCTTGTATCACCTTCTGAATTGGGTTGTAATCTACGAAAACCTTTGCTTACAGTGCGGAACCCCCTCCTAGCGAGGAGGAAGAGTACATGTAAGATTTTGATCTAAACCACTGTTAAATCATTGTATTTGTGATTGCTCAGGTGGTTGTGTAGTTGTTGTAGTTTACCTTATTTATTTCCCCCTGCAATATCAATATTTGTTTTAATTCTAAAAAAAAGTTTGAGTAACCCTATTCAACCCCCTTCTAGGCTTGCATCTAGATCCCAACAGGTGGAGGAAAGTGGATGCAATCATGCTATTTGCTACCACATTAGTGTATTCTAAAGGTAGAAAATTCCTTTTCTCCCATGGATTTAGCATAGAAAGAAAAATCTTGGCTCTAAATTCAACAGAAACAACAACATACAATCCATTATCTCAATTTTTTGGGATTGGCTACATGAATCTTATTCTTCCATTTGGTTATATTTTGGATCATTTCTAGGTATAATAATTCAAAAAAAGTAAGAAATAAAAATTTTTGGAAGTTTGAGATATTGAGGAATTCTAAATTTGTTAGGATTTCCAAAATACAAATTTGGAACCAAACAGTCTCTAAGAAACAAAATAAGCCTTGAAGATAATGGTCATACTAAGAAGCAAAATTGCGTAAGTACTTAAAAAATCTTAAAATGGCAAAGAAATAATAACAGACACATTTCGCAATATTCACACATAATAATATTCAACACGTGCAATCAAGCAAGATTTTAGTTCTCAACACACATATGATACAGTTTATTCAGAAAAGCAAAAGTTTCACATAAATGGTGTTAAATATAGTGTAGAGTTAAATACCTCATCAAATTCTGCTGGCGAACGACGATGCCCACCATGAATGCGTCGAAGCTGCCCCAAGTTTGATGGGCCAGATTCAATGCGTGGCATTTCAATGCTAGGAAAGTCCATGAGCAAAGATGTAATTTCTTCATCACGACCTAGCCTTGCAATGCAGGGTCCCTGCAACCCAAAAAAAAAGCATGAATAAATTATATAACCCCAATTTCTTTGATCATGAATGCATTACATGAACGAAAATTTCTTAATAGTTATTACATTTCCCATAAATATAAGGATAAATTGCAAGATATCCCCTAAATTTGCAATATCAAAAGAAAAGCTACTGAGGGTTCAAATTTAGAATTTGACCCTTCTCTTCAATTACTCTGAAATCAATTTGAATGCAAAAAATACAATCTTGCGCTATGAATATTATTTAAAAAAGGGACAGTCCAATGCACAAAGTCCCCCCAATGTGCAGGGTCCAGGAAGTTGTCGGACCACTTGAGGCCGACTGCATGTTGCCTTACTTACAAGAGGGTTTTGCCATCGATAAGACGGTAATCTATAGTCGCAAAAAAGGTGTGAAGGACTATTATTTTGAAATAAAAAAAAGTACGCTATCACTTTTTAAGTATCTTGTGAGACCCTGCATACTAGGGAGATTATTTTTGTAATTTATCCTAAAAATAAATAATCAAATATACCACTCTGTGAGCCCTCTCCCTGCGATTGGCTGCTTCACAATCCACCAAGGCCTCGGCACCAAGGATGTTGATATTTTGTCATTGATTCTTTATATAACTTCATGATTATTAGATAGGATTAGAGGTTTATCATGATTAGGAGATTAAAGAGTTTGAATCCTATTCTACTTAGAAAGTTAGGCTATGGTAGGTTTTTAGTTTCCCTATATATAGTCTTCTATTATTGAGGAAAAATCAAGGAAAGGAGAAAAAAAGAGCCGTTATTCTTGTAATCTAGGTCAGCAGAGGGCATAAATCAAATTGACGAATAGTCTACAAGCGGCGAGGGCTTCGTAGTCTTTGTCCGTACAAAAGATGATAATATTGGAAGAGGATTTTGCAGTTTTTTCCTTCTAAAAGATTGTAAGGAGGGGTTTGGAGAGAATATGAGAGTTATGTATGTGAGGCTGAGAGATTGAGAGACGAGAGTTGAGTGATTCCTCTTGTAGTTCTCCCTAATATATAGTGGATTTCTTGTATTTATCCAGTGGATGTATGTCAAAGTTGATCGACTGAACCACGTAAATCTTTGTGTTCTTTCTTTCTTCTTGATTGTGGTTCTTCTCTATCTTGTGGATTGTTGGCTGGTTTCCGAGTTGCGGAGATCATAGTAGGCGAGGAGACTTAAAATAACCAACAAAGGAAAACCCCAGGGGTGCAACAGATACTGCTGACATCAGTGACGGTCCGACGCCAATGAAGTCAAGCAGCCCCACCCACCCAAAGAGATCAACTACATTACCATCCAGTTTCGTCCTCGCTACTTGGCCATTGAGTGATATACATAATTAAGGTTCACTAAACAGTTCAGAATTTCTTAGAAACTACATCATGCAACTCTAAGTACAACCTGATAGGTGACAATGCTATGCCCCATGCCTTTTTTCCCCTTTTTATTTGCTTTATCTAATCATGGAGATGGAGGTGCCCTGAAATATAACTACATGGTGGAGTTAATATTTTGCATAGTGAACAATCACGCAGTTTGTCAACTATGTCAAAGAGACATTAGGGTAGCATACTGTAGCATTGACCAAGCAAGACATAGCTGAACTCAGCAGATATATGTATTTTTTAAGAAAAATCCAACACATTGATCTCTGTGTCTGTGTAGATAAAGCAGTTAGCACATATTATTTAATCGCATGCATTCAATAGATTAATTACGGAATAAAGTGGCTAAAAATAAAATAAAAATGAGTAGAGAAACAGATTATTATTGACATACTGACATCAAAACAAAGGATTGTGTGCGTGCATGGGTAAACAACATAGTGTAGGATACTAACACCAACAACATTTAGAATATAAAACCAAATGAGGTGAAAACAATCACTATGGTAAAAACCAAAATATGCGTTGAAGATAATGATCACATTAACATGTGCAAACACTGAAGAAATCTGCTCGGAATGCAATAGAACAAGATTTTAGTTCTCGACACAGACACAAATCATTTTATTGAGATATTAAAACCCAAAACTTCACATAAATAGAGATAAATGCAATGTGGNCTCGAATGCGCCGAAGCTGCTCCGAGTGTGATAGACCAGATTCAACATGTGGTGTCTCCACACTATCACATTCCATGAACAAAGACATGATTTCTGCATCAGCGCCGCGCCTGACAATGCAAGGCTTCTGCAAAAAAAAAGAAAAAAGAAAAAATTAAACCAAATAAATTACATAATCCCAATTTCTCTGATCATGAATGTGGAATATGAACTATAAGAAAAAATTAAACCAAATAAATTACATAATCCCAATTTCTCTGATCATGAATGTGGAATATGAACTATATATTTTCTTAATGGTAATTACTTTACATAATCCCAATTTCTCTGATCATGAATGTGGAATATGAACTATATATTTTCTTAATGGTAATTACAATTTTCCTATAAAAAAGAAGAAAAAATTAAACCAAATAAATTACATAATCCCAATTTCTCTGATCATGAATGTGGAATATGAACTATATATTTTCTTAATGGTAATTACTTTTTTCCTATAAAAAGAAGGGTAAATGACAAAATGTCCCATAGATTCACAAGATCAGCGGAAAAGCCGCTGAGAGGTCGAAAATGACACTTTGAACCCTCCGTTTCACTTATACAAAATCTACTCCTTTGTACTTAATGAAGAATTACAGGAAACAGCATAGGAGAAGCCAGAAAGTCTGGCGGGCGACCGCCAACGTGCACGAAGCTTACCAGGATTCGGAGCAGGTGTCGGTCGACCGTCGCAGTCGACCGCGGATGACTGTAAGCGATTCTTGCTCTCGAGACTGAGATTCGGTCGACCGCCGCGGTCGACCGCGATGAACTAGCTGGCCTTTCGTTTTTGACCCGTTTTGTTTCTGAGTTGTATATAACTCAAATCCTGATTGTTTAGGTTATGCAAGGACGATTTAGCAGCCTGAAGAGAGAATAGTTGCATCAATTTGGGGAGCTGAGAGAGATGCAAGAGCTTTGTTTTAGGGTCTGATCTGAGAGATATTTGTAATCTACTTGTATTCTGCTGATTTCTAATAGTAAAAACGACCTCTCTAAAAAAAAAAACCCCCAACCCAATCCTTGCCCCGTGAACGTAGGCAACTTGCCGAACCACGTAAATCTCTTGTTCTTGCTGTGATTGTGGTTTGCATATTAGTTGTGGTTAGTTCGAGTTATTGTTCGTGTTGCCAGAGAAAGCTTCCTCCGCGCAAAACAATTGGTATCAGAGCTAGATCGACAACATGGGAGATGCAAGCACGTCAGGTTCGTCTCTTACAAAGGCGATACAGAGTCTGAGCATCAATAACACAAAGATTGATGTTCCAAAGTTCGACGGCAAGATCAATTTTGGATTGTGGAGGTGTCAGGTGATGGATGCCTTGGATGCACAGAATTTGGAGGAGACTCTTGAGTTAAAAGAGAAACCCGCTGAGTTAGAGGATAAGGTTTGGAGGAAGATGAACAGTAGAGCTTGTGGTGTTATTAGGTCATGCATGACGTCGGATCTTATTTACGATGTTATGAACGAGACGTCGACGAAGAAGATGTGGGAAACACTCAATGAGAAATATCTTACGAAGAGCATTGAGAATCGGCTTCACTTGAAGAAAAGATTTTATCAGTTCAAGATGAAGAGGGAAGTTTCCATCAGGGAGCATGTCAACAACTTCACTAAGCTACTTTCAAATATGGCCAATGTTGATATTATAGTTGAGGATGAAGACAAGGCGATGCTACTTCTGTGTTCGTTGCCCGAAGATGATTATGGTACGTTCGTTCTCACTATGATCAATGGAAAAACTACAGTCAGCTACAATGAGGTGACCTCAGCTTTGGTGAATTATGAGTTGAGGAAGAATGATGGTGAACCCTCCGAGAAGACATCGGTGATGGTGAACCCTCCGAGAAGACATCGGGAGATGCATTAGCAGTTCGAGGCCGAGATCCAAACCGTCGTCAGTTCAACCGCTCAAAGTCAAAGAATAGGAGTGCCTATAAGAGTGTTGGTAGAAATCAATGTCGGTATTGTATAGAAGAAGGACATTAGAAGATTGACTGCCCAAAATGGAAAGAAAAAGCCGGGAAGAATAAGGAGAAAGCTGCACAAGCTTCAGAAGTGAATGTTACAAAAGCTATTGGTGAGCATTCAGATTCAGATTCTTCAGGCTATTCATGCCCTGCATTACCGTCGGTTTGCTATGCGGATTCCACGAAGTGGATGATGGATTCGGGAGCTACATATCACATCTGCCCTAAGAGGGAGTGGTTTTCTAGCTTTGAGGAGCTGGAAAGAGGGGATGTCGTGCTTATGGACAATGACCACGTATGTCCTATTGGTGGTATTGGTTCAGTCCGGATTAAGATGCATGATGGTGTAGTGAGGGAGTTGAAGGAAGTGGGGTTCGTACCGCAGTTGACGAATAACATCATTTCTCTTGGGACTTTGGAGGCAGCTGGATATCGAGTGATCTTAGAGGATGCTACAGTGAAGGTCACGAAGGGTTCTATAATGGTGATGCGAGGTGTCAGGGAAAACAACCTATACTACTTGAAGGATAAGACAGTTACAGGGGGTCTGGCAGCTTCTATCACTACAGAGGAGGACACTATCACCTTATGACACATGAGACTTGGACACACAGGTGATAAGTCCCTACAGTCATTGACAAAACAGGGGCTATTGAAAGGTGCTAAGACCTACAAGATGGAGCTGTGTAAGCACTGTGTACTTGGAAAGAAGACTAGAGTGAAGTTTGACACCGCTGTTCATAACACCCGAGGTACATTGGATTACATTCACACAGATGTTTAGGGTCCTTCCAAGAACACATCTCTTGGTGGGGCCAACTATTTTGTCACTTTCATTGATGTCTATTCCAGAAAGAATTGGGTATACCCTATGAAGCATAAACATCAGGTCCTGGATATTTTTGT